GAGTTTCGCTCTTGTTACCCAGGCTGGAGTGCAATGGCACGATGTCTGCTTACTGCAACCTCCACCTCCTGGGTTCAAGCAGTTCTCCTGCCTCAGCCTCCCGTGTAGCTGGGACTACAGGCGACCCCACCATGCCCAGCTAATTTTTGCATTTTTAGTAGAGACAGGGTTTTACCATGTTGACCAGGATGGTCTTGATCTCTTGAACTAGTGATCCACCTGCCTCGGCCTCCCAAAGTGCTGGGATTATAGGCGTGAGCCACCATGCCCGGCCATATATGATTCCCTTTATGTGAAATGTCCAGAGTAGGCAAATCCATAGAGACAGAAAGTAGATTAGTGGTTGCTAGGGACTGGTGGAGGCGGAAAATAGGGAATGACTGCTAACAGGTACAGGATTTCTTTTTGAGAATATGAAAATGTTCTGGAATTAGATAGAGGTGGTAATTGTACAAGTTAGTGAATTCGTCAAAACCACTAAGTTATATACACTTAAAATAGTGAAGTTTATTTTATGTGAATTATATCTTAAAAAAAAAAAAAAGTCCAGTTTACAGAGGAGAAAAAAGTAATTGAATAGCTCTTTTAGGAAAGCATATATTGAATACTGAATCGCTGTGCTGGGGACTTCTGGGGACATTCTCACCAAGTTAGTTTGACCTCTTTCCCTCCTGTCCTGGAACAAATAGGAATGAATATTCATTTACAAATGTCAGTGAAACTGATATGGGATACTGACTGTAACAGTACTTTTTAGCTCTATAATTCATAAAAGGTACCCATGAAATATTTTTTATTTATGCCTTTATTAATAAAGAATATCATTAAAAAATTCATTTTGTTTGAGTTAAACTTGCTGATATTAACATGATATTTTTTTAAGCTTCCAGATAAGACAATTGCAAGCCTTGTAAAATATTACTATTCCTGGAAAAAAACTCGCTCTCGGACAAGTTTGATGGATCGCCAGGCTCGTAAACTAGCTAATAGACATAATCAGGGTGACAGGTATGTTGGTTATCTTTATATAGTTATATTGTTAGGGACACTACATTTGATTGCTTACATTTCCTAAGGCAGAAAAGTTAGCATAACACACTGTAAGTATTCCGTATTCTTACATTCATGTTTCTGCTCTGACAAGAAGAGCCAAGTGGTTAAAGTTTTAATATGAAGAGCTCTTTCACCTCTTTTCATTTTAATCACAGATGCTTCCTTTTAGTATTGATACATTCAATACACATATTTAGAATGTATTAAGGAGTATATTCTGGCTGGGGTGTGGTGGCTCACACCTGTAATCCCAGCACTTGGAAGGCCAAGGCAGGCAGATCACGAGGCCAGGAGTTCAAGACCAGTCTGGCCAACATAGTGAAACCCTGTCTCTATTAAAAGCACAAAAAATTAGCTGAGTGTGTTGGTTTGTACCTGTAATCCCAGCTACTTGGGAGGCTGAGGAAGGAGAATTGTGTGAACCCAGGAGGCAGAGGTTGCAGTGAGCTGAGATTGTGCCATTGTACTCTCATCCAGGTAACACTGCCAAGATTCCATCTCAAAAAGAAAGTATATATTCTGTGAAAGAAGCTTTTTTTATAATTACCTGAGTAACTGTGATCCTTATTATTGAGGCTAAATCTTTTGATAGTATAAAATTATTTTGTTTCATTTTTGTCTGTCTTCATTCTCCAATTGGAGGACTGAAATTTAAGTTTTAAATTGTATGTGTTACCATTTCCCAAGTGATATTTCTTTTTAAATCCCTTTCTCATTGGGTCTCTGTTTTTGACCTAGAAGTGTTTGCTAAAAAGATACTGCGTACCCAATGAGATAAGTGTTTCTGAATACTGCAGAAATGTTAATTAAAAGCTCATCTTCCCAAGTACAACTCTTATTCTGTTAAATAATATTTAGTGAAATTACTAACATATATTACAGTTTGATAAGAACACTAGAATATGGCCAGGCGCGGTGGCTCAAGCCTGTAATCCCAGCACTTTGGGAGGCCGAGGCGGGTGGATCACAAGGTCCGGAGATCGAGACCATCCTGGTCAACATGGTGAAACCCCGTCTCTACTAAAAATACAAAAAATTAGCTGGGCATGGTGGCGCGTGCCTGTAATCCC